ATAAATTACTTGAGTTATTAATTAGTTTTTAATGTTTTTATTTAGAAAACAAAATTGATGCTTAGACATGATTTTTGTATATATAACAGGACCTAAAAATGCTACACACGTATTTGAGTCAGTCAAATTTTGTGCAGAGTAATGGTTAAATCAAGAATTCAAGGATTTTCATTCCAAAAGAGTACTACATGAGGAATGAAAGATAGATACTAAGGTCAACATTGTCAGCAAAACATAAATAAATAAAAATAAGCCATAAGAAGACAAAAAGAAAAAAAAACCTGTACATAATGTGTTACACATGGAGTTTTTTTTAATTTCATTTATTTAACCTTTATTCATCCAGGTAAACTGCTTGAGAACCACTTCTTCATTTACAAACATGACCTGGCATGCACTGAGTGCAGTGCAATATACAAACCTACATATTCAGCCATAGTGAAGTGATTGTAAATTTTAATTGCGATTAAAATTTTTAATCTATGCCCATGCAGCACTAAAATTAATCAGAGTTAACTCGATTAATTTAACAGCCCTAGTTTTACAACCAAAAGAAGTTTGTAATGTTCCTGCTGTTATCGATTACTAGGGGTGTAACAATACATCGATCTATATCGATGTATCGATTTGAATGGTTCATGATTCAGTTATTTTGAGGCAAAATGAAAATATCAATCTATATCATCATCATATACTCAGTGTGAATCGATATCATATGCCCATCTAACAGTCATTGTGTTAGATGGGCATATGATATCGCATTATATCGATCACAGACATATGAATTGAATTGAACTGAAATCACATTTTGTGATATCGAGAAATATCGAATCGTCATCCAAACATATCGATGTAATATCGTATCGTAATAAATCTGGTGATTTACACCCCTATTGATAACAAGGAAATGGAAAAATAAATGAGTTCAAACACTTGTGTGTTGCTTTAGAACACCATCCTATATTTAAGACTTGTATGGAAAATAACTAGAATCATTAAAGCTGCAGTCTGTAACTTTTTTGACATATTTGTTAAAACTGTCACTATGTCCTGACAGATTGATATTAGACAGATAATCTCTGGGGGGGAAAAAGGGGGGAAAAAAAGTCCTCTGGCTCCTCCCGGTGGTCCTTCTGCCCTCTGTTAAAATCTCTCCGACCCGGAGACGAACAGCCAATCAAAAGTGAGGTTTGTCTCATGCACGAGCTGTTCTTGCCCACTCCCCGTCCCTGCCCGCGCAGCGTGCACGCCGAGCAGCCGAGCTAGCGCGCTCCTGCTCAAACAGTAAGCTAGCTGAGCTAGCTGAGTGAAGCTGACCCCTCCAACAACCTTTACCCTACAACCTGGATTGGAGCCTGTTCTGAAACCCAACACAGGGAAACAGAAGAAGACCCAG